AATAAATAAACTAATAATAATAAAAATAATAATAAAAAAAATAATAATAATAAAAATAATAATAATAATAATAAAAATAATAATAATAATAATAATAATAATAATAATAATAATAATAACAACAACACGAGCGAATTTTCCGACACCCATAATGGCGTATCGAATATCACTACAGCAATTATAAATAGCCGGGTGATGGATGACGAGGATGAGGAGGAGGACGAAATACATTCGCTCACGGCATCTGTTAACGGAGAAGCAATGTCTGCTGATGATGTGGAATCTAATTGTAGTAGTATTATCACGTTGGTTGGTGATGTGACCGGTCGAATAGCATTTATAGTCGTTAGTAATTCTTTTATTTTATTGTCAAATTTTTGATGCAAGTTGTTTACGGACATTTTACTTGTGTAAAATTTTTATAGGATGACATGATTGATAGAGCTACTTCATTCATAGCAGCGGCAGATCATCTAATCCAGAGATGTAATGCCAAAAAAGTATACGTGATTGTAACACACGGGATTTTGAGTGGAGACAGTATCAGGGAAATAGAAAATTGCCGGAGCATCTATCAAGTAAATATTATAAAAAAATTTTTTTATAATACAACATTCTATGATAATAATATTAACGATAACATTATTATACTAGCTGGTGGTCACAAATTCATTTCCGATCTCGCTCGAAAAGCGTCGTCAATCGTCCAAACTAGTAATTATTGATGTTTCTGGGACTTTGGCCGAGGCAATCCGACGAACACATAATGGCGAAAGTATCAGTTACCTTTTTGATACGCCAGTTTGAAAAAAGTATTCTCTCTAATCTGTAATAATAAGATCAGTCAAATTATACTTTAAATGTATATTATTAATATAATAATTATTTGTTACAAACGACAAATTAAATCATGCAAAGAGATTTAGCAAAAAAAAATAAAAGTTTGCCGAGAATATTAACAGAAATCAATTTATTCTTGCTTTTTATTTTGTGAAATTTGATTTATTGAATGCAGGAATTAGGGATGCGACCCAAACTTATTTATTAAATTACAACATTTCGACTATATTTGGAATTTGTATAATCCCAAACTATAATTCCAATTCCAATTATAGTTCCAATTCCAAATTATAGTCCAATTCCCAAATTATAATTATTAATATCAAAAATTATTTTATAATAACTTTATTATTTTTTTTAATAATAAATTACTTAATAATTAATCATCTATTATAAGTTTATAATTAATTTGTTTTATTTATTTAACATTTTATCAATTAATACAGTGGCGACCAAAAATAATGACTCGGGGGCTAAATTTACTAATAAAACATAATGAAAATTGAAATTTTTTCTCTATATTAAAATTTATAATTTTAATAAGAAATAATTTTTATTTTTACATTAAAATAAAGTTTATCA